ATTCAAGTCATTTTTTATTCGACGCAATCTAGACACACATTAATCAGAGACAAGTCTTCTGTAATCCGAAATTGGTAGTTGGAAAGAAAGCAACAAAACGGGTAAAGGTTTTTACCCATATATATATTTTTAGCAGACAAAAAATGACGTTATTTCCCATCATGCTTTGTTCTGCCTCKMCAAGGCGGAATATGCGTAATGAACGGGTCGTGTTCACTTCATTAAACACTTGGTATGATAAAAGATGGGTTCTTACGGTGGCCATGTTCTACCRGGATCTTTCTTTCTATCCTTTGGTATTTGGCATTTCCTAAACACATTGAGAATCAACAATACGTCAAGTCAAGCTAGTTATCATTCAACGACTTGGTTTCCGGTCCCTTTTAGATGTCTTCGTCAAATTCCAGTGGAGCCAATGATCAAGATAATTGCTACTTTAGCAGGATTCTTTCTAGAAATGAAGGCCGGTAACTGGAGGATTACAAATCAACAAGGAAACTTCACGTCAATCAACAATCAAGCTCATTGTGTAATGTATGCAGTATTCATGATCTGGTCTACTGTTGAAGTTCTCGTATTTTATAAAGTTCTTAAACTACCAAGTTACTCTGAACATGTGTTTGCATCAATTGCTTTCGCTGTTGAAGGGATTCTTTTTCTGTTCCACGTTGACGRAAGACCAAGATTAGATCAGAAGCTTCATGCATTGCTGTATATGGTCGTTCTTGTCACTGCTGTAGTTATCTTGCTTGAAGCATGGGCAAAAACCAGCCTGGTGCTTTTATTAATCAGAGTGTTCCTTATTCAACTACAAGGAACATGGTTTATTCAAATTGCACATTGTTTGTACGGCCATCAACCATGGAAAAACGACTCGTCGAATCGAGAGTTTGTTGCTATTGTCTTCTCATGGCATGTCTTAGCAATACTAMTATCGATGGTCGCTAGCAGTACTTTAGTGTCGCTCACATGCAAAACTTTTAGCAGCCGTCATAGAAACATACAAAATCTCCCACTAGGGGTTGTGGGTGAAGACAGAGAKGATACCTTAGAAAYGGCTAACCTACTGGAAGAACAATAACAATGCCTCACTATGCAATATTTGCGAATGAATGATAATACTGTAATTTAAGAGATTTTTAAATCTTAAAAGTATTTTCCGCTCTAAGACTAAAACACTCTGAAGCGCATTGAAATCAAGATATGTTAATTCAAACAATGTGTAAAGTAATATGTAAATTAGGGCAGCAATAATAGCAATCATTAAGTATGAAACTAGTTTTGTCAATAATTAGACTATTTATTAGCGGTATAAACAAAAAGGACTTTAGCTAGATGCACAATAGACCTAATCGGCTTCAACCCAATTCAAACCACCCGGGAGTAAGTTTCATTGTTCGTTGTATTTTCATTTCAAAGTTGAATTCTTACAAACAAAAGTTCTTTTTCCTACAGTATTTGAATTGGGTGGCAACGTACATAGCAACGCCGTTAGCCGATTAGGTCTATTGTCAAAGACGTTGCCAAGAAAAAATTACAAAATAAACTAAATAAAGAACCAAAGTCCCATTAATCGGTCTTCATTCTTTGACTAGTCATACGGTAAATAATACTATCACGTCCTGGGTCCATATACCACAACACCAATGATATAACGTAGACTGTAAGAACCAAAACCACCAACAACCAGAACCAGATATTGAAGATCGTTGAGTAGAAAGGGGTGTACTTGTAAGCAATGTTAAGAGACTTAGAAGTCTGAAACAACAAAATGAATTTTTATCATGACTTATCAACATACATTAGTTTTATAAGTATTTCAGTGAAAGTGAAAGTCAATTCAAAGCCTCATTCCGAGAACTTTTGCCATCGTCTGCTTTGTTATTCAAACTAAAGATGGAAACAGATTTCATTTTGTCGTTCAATAAATTATCAAAGATGGCGATTTTCTGTATGTAAGAAAAGCGCGCAATGGTTCTTGGATACACATGGTTAGTGATTAATGTTGTGGATAGTTCTCGTGTTTTCCTACCGGTGCTAGGGTGGGAGATGGAGCCTCGACCGCTCTTCTTACTCTATTCAGGACAGGACCACTAAGACAATTAACCTGACAAAACAAATAAAACTGTTAGAGAGTCACAAACAACAACCCAGAAAGAAGGATCGATCGTGCGGTGGACGAGAAAGGAAAGCGTTTCATAGCATAATAACCGATTACTAGTCCGACAGATAACATATCCATTGTCACTCGACTGTCTGTCAGTCACACGGAATTTGTATTTTGTGTCCTATTATCGAGCGTGAACACGACTAAAATTCATTGAACAAGACTGGAAATAACACACACGTGACCTCTCATACCTTTAACTTTGATTGTATGTTAACTAGTTTGTTGCGCAGCGAGTCACACAGAGTTTCCATCACAGATGAATCCTGGAAAGGAAAATGTAACTTAATTCCACTTATTTGGTTATTTCAATGGTCTACTTGTGATTTAAATACCAGATCGCAATCAACAGACAGCGGACCATGCCGAAAGACAGGTGTCAGGTGGGAAGGGAGGCTAATTTATGGAAAAAATATAACAATATCGGATCGCCTTCGCGGTATTTTGTACTTCGTCCATAACACAAGAAGGAAGAAAGCCGTTTCTCAGATAAAAAGGACAACAATAAACCGAGCACAGAATACCAAGGACTTACAAGATCCCCTCGAAGTGCAACACTAGGAAATTGCTGATTGAAAGAGTCGACTGACGCAAGATGAGGCTCTAGATGTCTAAATATGTGATTGACGTCTGAAGGAAACTTGTCCTTGAGATTCCTTTTGAAAAATACAAAAAATAGGAAATAATGAAATGAGATAAAATAAAAAGGAATAAGAAAGGAGTGGTCTGCTGAAGAGAGAGATAAAACAATAAGCGAACAACTTACTCTTGCCATTGGGTAGCCAAAACTTCTACCAAAGCATTTCCATTGTACAATTCAAAAAATTGCTTCGACAACTGAAACAAACAATGAGAGAAATCAATAAAATTAACTAATTCAGTACAAACACAAAATTCAATTTACCTCAGAAATGATAGAAGAAATAAAAACCACAGCTCCTTTAGCCTGTAATGAGTCTCGACCATAACGATCTCTTATCAGCTGTCAGTCAAAATACCAAGAATAATGTTTAATACTTGCTTCAATTCTACTCACTACTGCATACAAGAGAGTAAAAATTGTAATCTACCAACCTTAGCACCAGAAAAACAGAAAGTTAAAACGTCAGGAATGTTGTCATTTATGAGAGCAGGGTTCGTTTTGAGCTGGAAAAGAAAAAATCATTCGTTATTTCTTTTAATATACACATCTTTGGCACCTGATRAAATAATAGTATATATTTTAACAATTTCCTTATTTYCCGAAAAAAGACTTTGAGAGAGGGGGCGCGAGAGCTCGTTGTTCTTGTTCTAAAAGATGTCTTTACCTTCTCYAACACAGCAWAMACCATTTGAACCTCGGCAAAAACTATGAAATCCTCCTGGAAAATAATAGCGTTTAAAAYAATATAATAAAAMAATTATAGGTATATAATAGGTGTTAGATATTATTAGTGGCATTGTCTATTATTATTAGCCATAACACTAAAAYATCAAACAGTGAGCAGTGTGGCTCCTATTACCTTTCTGTTTAGGTCAAAAACAGCATTCCCTTGTCCAGGAACTGCAACAGTTACGACTTTCCCATCACTGGACACTTTAGTACCTATACACGATAGCAATGTTAGTATATAGTAATGTCTATCACGTTTTCAATAAAGTAGAAAATGAGACATATGCTGAAATGAATGCAGAAAAACGTTGAATACTGCATKCTAAGACCGCTATGCATTTTAGCAATTTTTAAAATCTCGTTMAGTGCGCTACAAATAACAATTCTAAGCTTAATTACTTTACATTGAAGTTTTTAACTGATCGGAAAAGGTAAAGTCACTCTGACACCACCATACCTCCTTTTCAACGACCAACCATGCATTTATATTTGTATTGTAAATGTATTGTTATGACGAACTCCATTAAACCTAAACTAAACTTATTTCGGTCTTAGAATACACTATCTTCTAAGTATTCTTTGAATTACTTGTTTCCAGAACGCTTTTTATGCACTACATGATCAATAAAGACATGACTGAAAAACATACCYTTTGGTAGAGAAGCTTTCTGTAATTGAGATATTATCTGAAGGAAACAGGACGATATTCATCACACTTGGATTTAAYTTCATTTCATTTACCTTTGCTGAAGAGGCTGAGATACCAACAATGCAATGCCCTTCTAGGTCATTTAAAAGCGAATGTTTACTGTACAATAACTTCAGTGACAGTATAGGAGTGACCGAGTGTGGTCCGTGACACGATCTCTACGGTTACGTAGTCATACGATAAGTCATTTCACTTACCTGGTCGTTGCTTAGCTGCAAATCCTGRAAGGCCACGTGATCATCAGTCAACTTAAATTGTTCCTTTGCTTGGTCATAGTACAATGTATAACTATTTTCTCCAGCACTCGAGGCACTAGCTGCAAGCTACAATAACCATTCATTAATCATATTTGACAGTTTTTCATTAACAAACATTCTAAGTCGTTATTTTACATGTTTGACTTGTCTTTTTAAAACACGTTACAATACTTTGACTATTTCACTTGGTTTTACCAGTCTACTAATGTTGAATCATTAACTGCAAGCTACAAYAAGCATTCAGAACTTTTTAGATACTACAAAAGTTGAAGCACTACAAAAGACAAGCTTGTTTCTATGACTACAACAAGCCCGAGATATAATTGAATACCTTCTTCAAAACGATTTTTTTCCACCATAAASTATGTTCTCACTAAATAATAATTATTCATCCACACAGCTACTCATCATATCGGCTTTCAAACCAAATGTTAYCAAATTGTTTTGCATATATCCTGACTACTTATTGTGTACAATTACCTTTTCATCTCCAGACACAGAAAKTATAAGTGATCTTCCACCGAAAACGCGGGAAACTCGACTGGCAAAGTTCTCCTGTAAAGCGTTAGAGTGAGACAGAATTCCAGCCAAACCAGACGAGTCATCATTCTGAAATAAGAATCAAGATAATAATGAATTAAAACGTTTATACTGCTGGATAAATAATTGATGAAGATACACAGAATACAGGAATTTCATGTAYGAACTACATGGTTGAATGTTGGTAAATCATAGAGGAATGGCGATAGTTCAAACCGTGAAGCATCATTATTACCAGTCTTCTATGGTATTACTCATTCAGTAACCTGATAGACATAATTTTTTTTAAAATATACCTCATCAACAGGGAAAGCTGTATTTGCTTGTATATTCAAGGTGTCATCTGAAAAGAAATATTAGAAGCTTAAGTGACAAGCTAGTTGTGTTATGTATTCAAGTAGGAATTGTCTTATTGATTTGCTACCTTGTGTTACTCCTTCAACACCAAACATGATTCTAGCTTTAGGTCGTTTGAACATATTACCAGCAAGCAGGCCTGCCCAYGTTAAATCCTTAAAAAAATAACAATGTGTAAGTATAATTTGAAAGTACAAATCACAAATCTTATTTTCTGATTCATAAAACTGATACCAATAAATGGCTTAAATCAATGAGATTACCTCTGGAATGGACAAACCAAGGGCAAGTGAATTCACACTTGATATCTCATTTGATGGTATATCTCCAGCATTTTGCAAGAAGGACACAGAATGTGGCTTGTGAGTAATGAATAGTTTAGATGCAGATTTCTCCTGAAACAACATATAGTTATCATTATTTTTGACTAAGACAATGCTCAACTTTGTCCATCAAGATGTCTTTCCTGCTTTTKGGGAATTTAGAGTCACATATCTGTCTTATATTTACCACATATTRATTTATTTCAGAGAATCACAAAATCATACAATGTGTGATTGAATGCCCACTTGCCATATATGGTGATTTATGTAAGGTATGGTGKCCTTGTCACATAAGAGTGTTTTTGTTTGTCTATTTTCAGAACTGTATGATTCTCCAGAGATCGGGTTATTTTTTGACTCTATCATTGAGGGATTTGTCTGATGTGGAGGTATGTCACAGAGATATATATGTCTATTACTGCATTAAATATGTGTCTCATCAGTAAAGGGATGTGTCTTCTAGGAGTGTGCTTGATAAGTGAGTGTCTGCCTTGCAGGACTTTACAAGGTCTTAGATGTGTCAATGTCATTGAAGTGTCTGTTATAAAGGGAAGTGTGTCTTCTAGGGGTGTACTTGCTAAGCGGGTGTCTGTCTTGCAGAACTTTACAAGGTCTTAGTTGTGTCAATGTCATTAAAGTGTCTGTTATAAAGGGATGTGTCTTATAGGGATGTACTTCATAACTGGGTGTCTGCCTTGCAGGACTTTACAAGGTCTTAGATGCGTCAATGTCATTAAAGTGTCGGTTATAAAGGGATGTGTCTTCTAGGGGTGTACTTGATAAGTGGGTGTCTGTCTTGCAGGATTTTACAAGGTCTTAGATGTATCAATGTCATTGCAGGATTTTTCATGATTCCTGTCTTAGATGTGTTATGTGTTAGTGGAGATTTGCATCTGTATGGATCATGGTGTTCAGTATGTGTCTTTTTAATGTCTTTAATGTCTGTTTATGCCAACCTTTGTTGATTCTTTGATTAGAAATGTATGCTTTTCATCTGGAAGGGCTACGACTCCTAAAACATAGCATAAATAAAAAAAAGCATAAATATATTTTATTWAAAAAAATAGTTTATGAAAGACATAAAGAATACAACATATTGATATGTGAGTACTTGTGGGTGTAGAGCTACCATTTTTTTCACATGTATTCTATTTTTTAAAATAGCAGAAAGAAAGGGGAAAAGGGGGTGTTATAGCCACACAGCCCACATTCCCCTGCAATCACTGCCGCACTTACGGCCTTTAGATCTGGGTCGCCTTTATATCTAGGCGTACTCAGACAATTAGCTTACGCTASTATAAGGTTTTACATTCAAGATTTCAGCACTATGAACCCCAATCTACGAGCGTTTAATATATCGACTGTATCATCGGCTTCGCCAATAAATGTTTACTATATATTTTATGAATCTTGTGTTTTATTAGTAATGTTAATACTAGGTAACACCAGGATTGTCCGGCGAACATTAAATTACTAAAATGTAACCCAATTACTACGATATGAACAGACTTGTATTGGGACTCCAACTCGAACCATCGCGATCGATTGAGGCCTCGATTACTTTACTGCTGTGTTGGAACTATCAATACTCTCAAAAGATAAWAATAGTCTAATCTACAACTCTGACGTAAACAAGGAATTCAAAGGTTCTGAATACAATAATGAATATCGACATATTTCTCTCGTMGAACTCATTGAAAAATGGAATCATTTATCACAAAATTACTCAAAAATATACAGTTTCAAGGKTATATGCGGTCTCGTCAGCATTTCAACTCACTCGCTATCTATCACCACTTACCCGATATGAAAGATATAGCAAGAAAAAACGAAAGTACAGACACCACTCTCTCACTCCCTTCGTCCGCCATTACGAACTCGTACTTCTGGTCCCGTGATTTGACGCTGACTTTCAGTGCTGAGGGCTCAGAGGTGAAATGTGAGATTTACAAGAAAAAACTCTTTACTACAAGAAATACTAATAAATATATTCTTAAAGTCACTATATTTCATCTAAAAGTATACTAGATGGAATTTATTTAAATTTCAATATTCACTCGATACTACTTATAGCGCATAAATCGTTTTTATTCTAAACAATGATGAAATAAATAAATACGAGCTAGYAAATTCTCCTTACCTACCGTGACGTCACGGTATCGGAGGGCAATTTATGGTAATGAGGAAAATGAGCGCGATACATGGTCCCTATCATATAAGCTATGACTCCTAATATTCCTGCATCATATGAGCCTATGGTTTCGTAAAAATCTTATAAAACATGTCACTGGACAATGCTAAAGAAGTGGCGGACATTTTTTTGCCTCAATATGATGAAACAAACACACTAAAACCTGAAAAACAGTAAGCTATCTATAGACTATCACTACGAGGTCATGTACGTACATCAATGCCTTTGACCAGGCACATTTCGTCTTACGTTATGTCTTCTGTGTTCCTCTGAAGGTCTCAAAATGTAAAAGAAGACAAAGATCCGATAACATTGAAGACAAACATCAGTGAAGATGCTACACCATCGACACAGGTCAGTATATAGCTAATGTTTTATGCCCTTAAAAAGACGAGAATCGAAGTCTTGAAGGAGAACGCGGACAATTCTATAGATCGTTGGATCGTAAATTGAACCCTCCTAGAATAATCACCCTTATTTACTATAACACTCACAGTCATTCAGTGAAAGCATTCCTTGCATCTGATACAATAATCARCCTACTATTGAGTGAATGCCTTCCAATTTACAAGTAAAAAATCACTGGGAATTTTTGTGCACAACTTGTGACACAACTTGTGACTCATATCGTCTCCGCGGTATCTTGGTCGTACTATAGATCTAGCCGATGCAGGATGTCTGAAGTTGGTTGATCAGTCATTCCTCCTGTTGTGCTAGACCTTTGCATCTGGTATCATAGAATGCTTTCATTTTGGTCTTAAAGCAGGTACTGAGAGGAATCTGGCAATGTAGGACAGTTGTGCAGCAGTCTCTCGTCATAGCGTAACAGCTGAGTTGACTGTAAGGCTCCATAGCTCATTTTACTGTCCTGTATTACGTTGGATCTATGGATGTGTAGCTTTGCAAAGTGTCATCCAAGAAATAACTCAAAATAACGCCGTGCAAAGCTGTGTTCTTGTTGTTTGAATACAGCATTTCCTCGTCTTCTTGAAACCTGTGAACATCGATCGGACTCGAACTTCGAACATCGAGCTATATCAACGATTCTAAATTCAGCCGAAGTGTCCTTAATTCAAGTCCGTCAACACGTGATGTTTGCTGGTATGTGACGAAGCCACTAAAGCCATTCGCTTTCTCCTTAAATAAAGACAACGACGTAGTCTTGGAGGCCGCCATATTGGACCAAAGGCCGTTCTGCTGAATTTCGGAATTCTTTCTTTTAGGCAGAAGCTGGTCAAATACGGAAGCCAAGTCGATGTAGGGGATCTATTTAAGATCTTTTTCTATTCGCGCTTGCCGCTTGTCTCACCTAGACATTTTTTTCCCATTTAGCAGGTATTTGAGTTACTGGTACTGTAGTTATAAAATATATCGTTCAGTTCTGTACAAGATTTAATTTTTTTACAGAGATAGACTCTGATACAACGACTGGACTCCCATAAAGTTGTCAATTCAAACCAAAAACAGCAGTGTCACAAGTCCGAWATGGGTCGAAGAAAAACATARGATTGCGACTAAAGCTATACTGAATCGTTCAGCAAAACAGTCATCGTGCTTGTTCAAGCTTAGCTGGACGTCTGGCCAAACACTAGACATGAGATCGTTCATGGTGACGATCATTGCTCTGTCCCCTCTCAACGTTTGCACAGGATCAGGATTTCGATTATAAGTTGCGATAACTGCATCATTTTTCAAGAAGCGTATATTGCTAAWTCCAATCTCTAGCGCTTCTCCTTGTCTAATGATCCTACTAGTGAGAGGACCGTGTGTTAATTACTTTAAAAGTCTCTCTATAGTACGCCATACACTAATACATGACAAAATGTCTCATTCACTAACCCCACTGACCACTTCATATGACTTCACACTATACAACATGATGGACACCACATACCAAACCTTATAACACATGTAATAGTGTGACATAACGCATAATACTATCAACCTAACTACTAAGCACATGTCCAGTAATCCCTGCTCAATGTCAACTACAATTTCTCATCAYCTACCTTTAGTATCCACCAACCAAGCCAGAAGTCCAAATCTCTACCGTGCAAGATTCAAGTAACCTGTTTGAATTGTTGATCAAAAGAATCGATTCCAACGCTAGGTGAGTACTGATGAATAAAGAGAGACAATCAATCGCCTTGCAGGCTCAAGCCTACTAGGTTATTCGCATGACTTCTACAACGACAACAGCATCGACAACTACAACATTGACGACTTGTATAAGCAAGTAACAGTCGACAATGTTTGAATTTTTTCTTGTTTCTAGGGAGGAAAAACCCGCTACAAAAGGCATGARTGATAGTTTTCACGTAAAACAGCAAGATATAACTCACAAGGAAAGACAGCATAACGTAAGTACTTTTCTTGTCCAGGAATCATGTTATATATAAGTCGTTTGACCAGTTTATTTTGATTATTTATTTCTAGGTGAACGGCAACATCTCAGCATTTACATCCAACGATATCAGGTATTAAGCAGTTATTTACTTGGTCTAGCTAAACTATTTTAAATGTTCGGCACAGATCACTGATCCGTTGACCCCCTCCCCTACCCATGAGTTAAGCTACGAGAAAAAGCAAATAACGAATTACCATAAGATRAAGTACAACTCGTTTTCAGTGTTAATGGACGGGATATAATRTGTAACTGTTACGGTTAGATGTACATCGACATTCGCAAGAATTCACCCTTGTATTTTGTGTTTCTGCTACATTTGTTTCTTGRCAGCAGTGATACCTTGTCACACTTGTTAATTRTACTGGTCGTTTATCTCTTCTAGATCGTCTAACGGGCACGTCAGCCACGAACATAATGTCATCTCTTCGTCAGGTAACTTGGACATCGTTTACTGATACTCTATAACATATACYAAAACTCTATTGCTTAACTCTAAGCTTATCAGTATTTTGAACATTATCAGAATGCCCCCCAATAAAAACCGACTGAATCTWTGAGGTCGTTACTATCTCGTACGATCGAGTACAGGGAGATTTACACAGTACGTTGTCGTGTATGACTCAAAACAGCTGGAAGTCGTGCGGTGTAAATGACTACGACTGACGGACACGACTCACGACCACTCGTGAACGTATGAATGGTAGCTGCGACATTTTACGTTCCTACTCTTACGTTAGACAAAGTTAAATTCWTTTATTCTTCAAATTGTCAAGAATGCTGTATTTTTTTTCTATTTCAGAGCACGTTACCAGCTCTCATCAAAGTGCAAGAAGATCAATCTTTGACAACTCTCCTCTTTCTAACGGCAAGAGGCCGAACGAAAACGACATCATGTCGACTTGTACTCACAAGATTACCAAACCAACCGACGACGCTGAGATAACAAGCTCTACTAATGAGGGTGATTTGAATAACRCGAATATTCGCAACGTCGCTCAAGGTTCGTACCACGAATCGCCTGGTTGGATTTGAATGATTGAAAGATTGCACGGATAAAATTTAAATGATAAGTTAGGAATAACTGAATGAACGTTTATAGTCTTAGTCTCTCATGATTCTTTGTCTTTGTATGTAGATCATGACGATTCTTCCAATGACCACGTGATCCTCATCGATGATGATGAAGGCCAGAATGGTGCCCATAGAAGGGACGTGTTTCCTTTCACGCAACGACTAAAGTTGATGTCTCAGCGCTCGCGTGAAGGATCACCCTCGTTATCGCAACAAGTAACTCACGAAAAACCAACCACTGTGCCCAGTTACCACGGTAACCACATATTAACCAATCAAATGTCGTCTGAACAAAGCATGATGGATACTAATCGGACAGGGTTTAGACCTTTCTTCGGTSAAACCATTCCATCAACTTCAAGCCCCGTCTCCCTACATTTGCATAATTGCAATCTTGGCTTGTCACATAGTAACGTTATTTCCAGTAATGAGGTATATTTACTTCTTGATCCACAAACTCAATTTGTCAAGGGAAATTTAAGTGAACCTGTTCAAGCTGCACGAAATGGTGGACTAGTATTACAAGCAGAACAATGTACACAGGTTTCGACRTGTGCCTCTTTCCCTGTGTCCAACCGTTTCTCCCATGAAGTAAGACAAACACATTCTAGAGGGAGTGTTTTCGCCGATGCTGATTCTCTGGTGATGMSYMATMGGAATTCCCAATTTATTGGATCACCATCACAGAGAGGAGAACCGCAAGTTATGTCCAATATTTGGGAGCGAAGACCATCTTTAGTATCGTCCAGGATACCCGTCTCGTCACCTTTTAGTCAAACTAATTCGACCTCTGCATTTTCAAGACCTGCTGTTATCCATCAATCCCCAATTGCCCAGCGGTTTGATTCATTTCAAAGGGATAACTCGCTGTCTTGTAACGAACGATTATCGAAGTCCCCCGATCATTTTTCGGTCAGAGATCGATTGTTTCGACCAGTGTCGCCAACATGGACCAACTCAATATATTCTAATACAGTGTCGCTAAATACTGGTGAATCGCAATCGTCTAATGTGAGGACTGCCGAAAGAGACGCTGACGAATTCTCATACGCCTGCGCATTGCATGAAACAGCCAATAGCCCGACTATTGAGCGTATGCTTGGCTCAGAATCCCCTATGGAAAAATCATCAATAAGTTCACCGCCTTCTGTTTCTGAAAGCCCTTCATATAGGACTGTCCATGTAATATCTTCGGACTCGGAGACTGTTCGTGAATYGAACCTTTCCGAGGACTCGGAAACTGTTCGTGAATCGAACCTTTCCGATTCCTTACCGACCAATGACCAATCTACAATGAATTCTTCGTTTCTGGAAAACTCATCTAATATAAACGATGATACTAAAAAAGATGAAACTTTAATAGAAGAAAGCTGTATTGAGAAAGATAACACAGACTCTTCTAAAAAACCAATGAAGAAGCGAAAAATGAACTTGAATGTTATTCATAAGAGACTCGAACCCAAACTTCCATCTCCTGTTCGAGAAATAAGCTCGGGAGATTTATTTCAGGACCCTAGTAAGTTAACCCGTGAGGAACGAGCCCTTCAACGGGCCATGATGAGGTTCAGTGAGTTAGAAATGAAAGAGAAGGAACTTCCTAATATGGTCAAAAGTAGACGTGACTCTAAAGCTGATGARCCCGTAAGTATACTATAAAGTGAAGTTTCACTACAAGACATGCACTTAACTGCCTTRAAAATGCCTTGAAAACTGTATTCCTTACTGCGCATGCTTGGTGAAATGCAAGGTTTCTATCCCACATTTGCCATATCCTGAGTCCGCRCTGTTGCTGTCCAGCGAAAGCCAACAGACCGCTGACAAAATTTCTMATTTCCTCAGATGAGATTTTCATAAAGTTTGGACAAAAATGTTATTTGTTTTAAGTTGACAAGTTTTTCGTCCACCTTAACGTATTTTTCGTCTTAGAAGAATGTTCCTTTTATGTGAACACATTTTACATTTGTAGAAAAATACTTCAGAGAAAAAAAGRGCAGCGTCCACTGAAACTATCGAAAAGAAACAAGATAAAGGTATCATTTTGTTTAGTGTTTCAAGCATGTCGTTATATTAGATATGTGACCATGGATCAACCTTTTGTTAAGGCAAACTTCGAACGTACTTCCCTTGTTAAATAAATAGAGATTGCACATGACATCACTCATTGCGAATAGTTTCGAAGGGAAAACTCGTGGAAATCGAGTTACTCTTCGCACGATGTAAATTGGAATAAATACGTTTAGTTTATTTACAACCTGGATTTAATCTGATTGCAGAAGGTTTTAATAACCCATTTAAAGCGAAAAGAAAGAAGGTATGCTTTGTCATATACAGTAAAATGACAGGCAAATGACTATCTACAATGACAACTGATTTATGTGTCTTTTGTAGCAAAAGCGTTGGTTTAAAAAGTATCAGAAAGAATTAAAGAAGGCCCCAGGTTTGATGATATATTTACATACAAATTGATTTAAAAACYATTGTGAAGATTTGTTCATACTTGGCTTTATCTTATAAGGACATGAGTGTTCTCTTTTCCCATGATGCATTTACGTTTAGAACAAAAGATTTCTATGACGTCGATATGATCATCGTCTATATTTTAACAAATTATGTTGTTCTATTAGTAATTACAAATCTTGAGGTTAAAGTAGAGCCTTTAAGTGATGAGATAAAGGCCCAGACGTCCATTGGAACTGACCCTATGGTAGGTCTAATAGAAAAAACAAACCAACAAAAAACCCTTGGATTAGCAAATGATTAATACATATGTAAACATGAACAGTMTCCGTTTGTTTTCTATTGATTATCTGTATCATTCACATTAATGCGTTGTCGTGGCGTTTTTTAGTTATTTTTCTTTTTCTTTGCTGTTTTCATTTTCCTGCTAATGTTGTTGATAACTGCTTCTGGTTGGCTGTTGCTGTCGCTGTTTGTCAAATCAGTTCCATCATTGTGGATGGGAACTCGTTATACATAAAGCTTCTGTTACTTCCACGATGATTTTTTTTTTGAAGACAAAGTAATAACGTCAGATAAAGTACTTGCTGTATTATTCATATAGTTATGGATGTATTAGCCTAAAAGTCTTCCGCTATAAAGAGATCTATCTACACATGGATGAGCCAAAACAACACGCTAATGTATTTTGGTACATATTTTAAAAATGCTGATGTGAAGAGAAAGACTTTTTTTTGTAGGTTAAAATAAAGAAAAAAGTTAGAAAGAGAAAAAGATTGAAAGGTGAGAACAAGTAATACGGCTAATTCAGTCTACTAATTGAGCCAATCAAAGTTGGTTTTATATGGTACTCACCTGTCCATTTTTAGCCAATCACGATTGGYTAAAAATCATTATTGGATCTTTCACTGAATCGACGTAGTCACGCGTAGACACCGGTTTGTGCTGTCAATATTTAATGCACCTTTGTGTTATCGTAGACAACGAGGAAATACTACTATCGAAAAAAAAGAAATTCATGAATGAAGCGAAGAAACAGTTCAACGAAAAGGTGAACGATGAAATACAGAATATAGTTATTCATGTGCTCGTCTTTTGATCTGTCATCGTTGTAGTCTGTGGTAAATATTTCCGGGAATTTGTCTTTAAAGTTTTGTTTTGTTCATTCATTTACAATATTGCGTGACGTCTTTTGGAACACTCTACCTTATTTCTTTGAGTTTGTTACGATAACAAAACCACATGATTTTATTTCATTCAATTGTTCATGATGTATTATTGAAAGGTAGTCGACTCGAGAATAGTAAGCTAATTAGCATTTACTGTATCGTATATGTTTGTAATCGTGTATTTYTCCCTGTCGGTATAGGTTGTCAAGACGACCGATGTCCGTGTCGGTGAGGTGGAAGGTATGTTTTTAACATTAGTAGCAGCATTAGAAACTAGTTTTTCTTCATTCACCCGGCCTTTGTTTTCTTTTTATTTGTTCACGAATTAATGTATTCACCAATTAATTTATTCATGTTTAGTGCGTTCTTTTGATCCTTTGTGTTTTAATTGGTTTATTCGTTTGTCCATTTTTTTAGGATTGCATTTCATTTTTTCATCTCTTCCACTCTTTGTTTTCTGTTTATTAACCATTAGTGTATATGGACCGTGGACCGTGGACCATAATCGTTTATTAACCATTAGTATATTAACAATTAGTATTTTATCTACAGATTCCAAGGCTGTAGAAGCAACTGAAGAAATTTTAAGGAAAGAAAAAAAGAAAGCTAAAAAACTGAAATTGAAAAGAAGACTTGAGGAAAAGCATGAGAAATCAAAGTATCTCCAGAGTAACTCCAGCAATGTATCTACTGTCACTAGTACGGTAAGTCATCTCTTGTTTATTGTTTGTTTTATTCAAAGCTCGTAACCATGGATACTACTTCTTTTATCAGCAAATATCGTCAACGCCTGAATCGTCTTCGCTGGAAAAGAAGCGTAAGTTTCTTTATTTGTATTAATCATAGAAAAGGCCTGACTTAATACATTTTCTCTTGATTGGTTTTATGGACATTCTTCTAATGATCATGGTCCATCATCATCATCATCATCATCACTAATAAACCATCAATGTATCATTCAGGTATTGCAGATGAAAAGCATCGAGTCAAAACATACATGTTGGTCCCATCTTATCAAGGATTCAAGGTAGTGGGTTACCTGTGCTGTTCCTGATAGCTCTCATGCTGCATGCTTTTTTTATTTTTTATTTTTATTCATTTTTTCATTTTATTAGGATTTCCAACCAGTTGTGATTGAATCTCGAACAAGGCGCAAAGCGGCTACACAACCAAGTGAATCAGGTAATTGTGACGATGCTTTCACAATGCTCCTAATAAGCGTTATTTRATAGAGCATACTAATAATTCTAGGTTCAGATAACAAACCCAAGATTCCTCTACTCGTCGTGGAGAGTGTCCATTCTAAACCTGTAAAGGAAATGATTGTAGCGGAGAATGAGGAAGTTCAAAAACTCGTYACAGAATGTTTGCGAGTTCACGGTAAATGGCATGGAGACGAGCTAGAACAAGCTCTGGTAAGTCACGTGATTTTAATGTTCCAATTTCCTCGTTAAAAAAATAAATTTTGCTTTTGGTCATTTAACTTAAGAATTTTTTTAAGAAATTACTTGCTTCGTTATTCTACGAGAAAGTAATTGTAATTTGTAAACTTTTTCAAAGAAACGTGAAGAAGCAGARCTTAACGAAGAGGTTTCCAGGTTTCGAGGTGAGATAAACGATTTCATTAGTTTGATTATCATTCAGTCATATGATAAATTGTTTGTTTAGATGCCAAGAAACTGTCTGTAAATCGAACAACAGGAGAAACTATTCTACACAAGGCAGCGAGGCTTGGATACGATGTGAGTATTCTGCTTATWTTGAGAAAGAATYCAGTTCATTTTATAGTTTTTAACATTTTGGTATGTTTCACAGGAAATTGTCAAACAGTGTATTCTRCAGGGAGCTGATGCAAACGCCAAAGATAATGCGGGTTGGACGCCCCTGCATGAGGCATGCGCACGAGGTAAACTGGCTGTGGTCAAGGTTTTGACTCGATATGGTGCTGATGTAAATAGCCAATCAAATGACGGTATTAGGTAAGACCTTATTTACTGCTGTTRWAGAAGCTTTATTTTGACTCGCATTCAACCATTGTTGATTGTTGTAGGCCTATCCATGATGCTGCGGAGGCTGGTCACATTGATGTTATACGTGTACTGTTATCTTATGGAGCTGAYCCGTTTCTTGTTACGTACGCGGGACTCAACGCATTGGCTTGTGCAAGACACCCAAAAATTAAAACGTTTTTGCAAGGTTGGAATTAATTTATATGTGAATCAGTCAAATAATTGCTTTCAATCTGTTAATCAATCCTCTCTTTTATTGCTACTAGAGTATTGTACTGATGTTGGTCACCCAATTCCTGACCTACAACATMTCAAGGAACACGTATGTATACTGCAAATGTATAATAATAAAATAATAATAATGATAATAATAATAATGATTTATTAATTTATTATACTTGCTAATGTGCAAACGATAAATGAATTACTGAATGAAGAAATGGATGGACGAATAGAAATTAATTTCATTTTAATATTTGATGTAATTTTAGGATGGTTGGGAATTTTGTGGTTCCAATTCGACAATTTCAGGTATGTTGCTGTTTCAACAAGGCTGTCCTCATCTGCTCTAGTGAAAAAGCATAGTTCGAACGCCTTGGGCCAGGATGTTTAAAGCTCGRTTAACCCTTATCTTGGATTAACTCTGAAAACTTATGGAGTTAAACCTGGATTAACGGTAATCGGGCTGAACAAACAGCCCTGTTTAATGAACATAAATGTTAATATCGATGAAATACGAGCTCTGGATGGTGTTTTTGTTTTTATAGACGAGCGTCCCGATAGAGTGAGTGGTATTTGGGAAGACATCCCAGACTGTTCAGAGACTTTTTATCCCGAGTTTGAAATCAGCGACAAACCTCACATCAACACTTACAACCTGCCAGTCATGAAGGATGACGTCATTGTAGGGTGAGTGCTCATGACATAGGTGATATGAGGACATTATGGATTAGACCGTTGATGATGGACATGATGATGATGATGATGGCGATGGTGATGATGATGATGATGATAGTGATGATGATGATGATGATGATGATGATGGCAATGGTGATGGTGATGGTGATGATGATGGCGATGGTGATGATGATGATGATGATGATGATGATGATGATGGCGATGGTGATGATGATGATGATGATGAAATAAATATTCAGTATTAATTCTTGCTCTTGTGAAACCTTCATGCCAGACGTAAGTGTTCGTCCTGAACTAATAATGTTCATCACCTTGGTTAGTAGTGACTCTTTATGTTCTTTATTAGGAGACGTAATTACATGTTAATCCAAGAACTTCATGACAGTGGTCACGTTGCCAAAACAACACTTCAAAAGAAGCTGAAAAGCGCAGACATTCTTGAAATGCCTTGGAGTAAATTTCTAGAACATTTATCAGAGAATTATTTGTGTGTGAAACCATCGTACGCACCAGAAGGAACAAGCACTGACGAACCTAAAGCACAGTTAGTACCGCTGAACTACACTATGAGGAGGCTACTAGGAATTCGAGTAGAATCATGTCGGGTGGGAGGCTTTCTTTATAAGGTTTAACCTTAATGCATTGCGGGCCATGCAAGTGACGGGCAACTCATTATTGCCCTCTTATAGACACGCAGATATTGATAGGTCACGTGACAGTCTTGATTGGGTGTCACTTCTGAATGCTATATTCCATAACAACAATGCAAGCTCTCTTTACAGACCTCTCTAGTCTATTATGGATAATTTGATAAACATGCATTCAACTCTGTTTTACGTAAAACACCTTTATTAGATACAGCGCTTTAGAGTCAGCAAGGCAAMGTTTCGCTGTACGTGGTTGTTAAACTATTTTACTGGTGCAAATGTTTAAAGAAGAAGCCAGGGAAATGACAAATGAAGCTGGTTCTTCTACATACAGCTGAAGCTGAATCCCTGYGCTTATCAATATTTTTATTCAGTTTCGAAGTTTATTGTGTAWTGAGGTCTTTTGTGAGCAAATTGAGAAATAAGAGAAAATGAACACAACTTAGATTCAAATGAAGTTTGTGTTGTGTTATATTTAAAGTATTTTATAATGTTTGTAAATAAAGCATTTTTTGACTAAATAGTGTGTACTAACTGTTTCTAAGGGTGAAGCCGTCAACATCTATCCATTTGTGAATCCCAGCGTTCTCGTGTTTATTATATCGTGTGGATTTGACCGTCAAAGCGTCAAAGGATTCAGGAGTAGAAATGCTATCAAATTGTGGGGCGAAAGGGGCGAAAGAGTCTGTTCTTCTAAATAACTGTTCTTCTAAATAACTGTTCTTGCACGACTTTTTTCCTGGGAAAAGGAGTTTTAGCTACATTATTGACAATCTTGACAAGCAAATGTGGCGCCATTCCTTCTTTAAAATAATTTTGTTTCTGGCATACGTTTTTGAGGTCAAAAAAGGCTTATTAACGTTTTGATGGTCAAAAACGGAATTTTTTTAGTTAGGAAATTTTTATTTCCCTGGAAAAAATTCTTAGAAAGTATTTTTTTGCCTGGAGAGTTCCTTTTTCCTAATTTTTCGCTGGCAACCAGTGATGATAGAACAGATATAGTTCTTCCAGGAACCCGTCGGCTCCTCCTAAAGCTACTACACTTTGATGTGATGTTACCACATGGCTACCGTGGACAATGTAACCCAGTGTACCCAGGTACAATTTCTWCAGATAACATTTAGGTAGAAAAACTGACAATATTTTGATTAGTGAGAGGCGTTTAAAAGAGATTGAAAAAATATAAAAATAAAATAAGAAAGAGGCATCTCTGGTATGGTCTTCCTGTGGTAAGACAAACCGAGTWAAGATTGTTTCCGAGTTTYGTTGATAAATTATGACTGCAAACTGCTGTAATTGTGATGATTTTCTGAAGTTAAACAGTTATCAAAAGGTAGTTTTTTTATGTTATTCAATTAAGGTACCATGTCTATAATCATTTATGTACATATATTAACTTCATTATCGAAATCTTCGAACGTGTTTCATTGGGAGTAAGCGTTACAATTTACCTCTAATAGATGATTCTAGACCATATTCTAAATGTATGGATAGAACATCCACGCAATTTTTACAGTTTTCTAATTGACTTTCAACTTGATATCCTTGATGTACACGTCTATTAATATAAACATTGTATGTTTGTCTTTTTCGTTTGAGAGTTTCGATCTTTGATACCTCATATTGCATAGTTTATACTAAAGTCCCAATTTATCTTGTAGGTTACTGATAGTTGAAACTTCTCCCTACCCCACCACCATGAATCTGTCATTTGCAGGATGTGGATTCTTGGGTGTTTACCATCTGGGTGTGGCCAAGTGCCTGGTGGAGCGTGCACCTCGGTTTTTGAACAGTGTTACGGCATTTGCTGGAGCCTCAGCAGGATCTCTTGTTGCTGCCATGCTTGCAACATCAGCACCTATTGATAAATGTTCCCAATATGTTATWGAACTTACAAATGAGGCTCGTAAAAATCCTCTTGGACCATTTAGCCGTCAGTTTGACCTTGTTGGGAATTTACGAAGAGGAATGGAAGAATTTCTTCCTTCAAACTGCCATCGGATTGCTTCAGGAAGACTTTATATCTCTGTTACTAGTTTAAAAACGAGAAAAAATTATATTATATCAGAATATGACTCTAAAGAGGAGCTGATGAAGGTATGTTAGAGGAAGAAAAGCTCACACAGTCCCATAGTCCATAGTCCAACATGTGTCCGTATTTTAGCTTGATTATTTTGTATGATTTGTGGTTTATTCTGCAGGTTCTTCTTGCAAGCTGTTACATTCCTTTCTACGTTGGCTTAGACTTTCCTGAGTTCAAAGGACAGGTTAGTATTGTTGATTGTCCATTTATTTCAAATGTARGCAGGGGCTAAGGTAGTTTAGCCTCTATTAAGCARGATTCCTGTGCTAATAAGGCAAAGAGAATGTTTCTATTCTTATATTTTTGACCTCTGAAATCATCCCCCTCAATCCACCATGATTGTTAAGTTTATACTGAGTGATATTGCCATGACTACACTGGGTTTTTCCAAGCATTTTATTTTATAAAGAAATTATATGGAGATGTAAGGCTGCTTACAAATCATCACAATGTTTCAAGTAAACATCTTATAAGACTGCTTTATTCTTAACCACAGAAATGGGCTGATGGAGGCTTAACCAACAACCTTCCTACTCTCCCATTTGGTGAAACATTGTTAATATCACCCTTTAGTGGAAAGAATAATCATATTTGTCCTGAGGATGAATCACAAGGAATTGCAAAYATTACTTTTCATAATATGAATATATATGTAAATAGAGAAAACTTGCAAAGGGAGCTACAGATATTCATACCACCAAAGAAAGAAGGAATCAATGAAATAGTGCAGAAAGGATATAATGATACATTAAGGTTTTTGAAACAAGAAAAATTATGTGATTCTTCACTAAGAGTTGTTTGATGCTGTAGCTTGTGTAGTTCTTAACAGTGGCAAATAGTAGATAAGAGAATCCAAAAAGAGGCACCTTCAAAAATTGATACTTTCAGATAAACATTACATAAGGATATAAGGATTAGAACAATTGAGTCTGCAGTCAATATGAGAGATCACTTTTTACTATCCACCGACTACTCTGGGGGAGGAGGAGGGGGGTGGAAATGAAACAAAATTAATTGTGTATATCTAAATATAAAACATATCATCATTTAGAATACAATAATAATGTAATTAGGACCAAATTGCAGTAGCTTTTAATTATATTCATAATCTCTGTATTAAACATAGTATTTTTCTTTTTCTGGACACAATGATCTATAATCATAATCATAATCTTAGGCACATTATATATTATGAATTCATAAAAGAGTTAGATTGGTTTTGCATAAACCTACGAAATGTACTCTATTGTTTTGATTKATCTGCTGTTATCTTTGTCTGACTGTTACAATTTATTATAACCGTGCAGCCAGGCATATTTGGTCCMTAACAGAGAGTTWTGGCTCTAGGTGTCCAAGAGKTAACAACTAGATTATTGAAGTCTGAATAGTCTTTGACTCTTATTCATAGGTTTATGGAGACTGCTCTATCCTGCACTGAATTAATTAAACAATTATTCTTTTATGGAAAAATATTGTTGATATTAGTAATGCTAAATATCTAATTGCTCCAATAAAAATTAAAATTATTATTCAAACATATGGAAATCTTGTTACTTTAATTCTTTTCCTGCAGAAATGGTTTGACGGTGGATTCACTGATAATCTRCCYACCCCTCCCCATGGAAAAACGATCTTGGTCTCGCCCTTTAGTGGTAACAGCGACATCAGCCCACGTGACTTGTCTCGGCCATTGATGGACTTCTACTGGCGAAGAATGCATGTTCTTGYCAACAGAGAAAATGCCAGGAGAAGCTTAAACATCCTCTTCCCACCAAGAGATCACAATTTAGATAAGATATATTCAGCGGGATTTGATGATGCTATGCGATATTTAGAAACAAAGGACTTATTAAATGCATAGCGATTTAGCACTTGCCACACGTCACGGGATTTTCTAAAATGTACTAAAAGGACCGAAGACGATAATGCTGCAACTTCTCAATTATCCGTATGAATTCGCTTTTACTCAATTCGCCTTGTCCATTTGTTCCGTCATAGTTTCATTTTTCATTATTTCGTTTATTCGTCCCATTTGTTGATAGTAATTCATTTCCTACTTCCCTATATACGTACTCGAGATGTTTGTCATACTTGTTTTTCACTTCATCAGTTTTACTTCCGTATTCTCGACACAAATGACATAAAATGAACTCGKCTTTCCATTGAGATGCATTGCTAGTTAAGATGTGATGTATTATGCAAATACATTATATAGACTGAAACAGACAGCTCCCCCACAGAGAGAACGATAAAGGAGAGACTAATTGTGAAACGGATCAATGTGTACAGTCAGTGAGTGTAGTCATATAAGGAATCGTCACTATGACTAAGGTCATGATGTCATCGGGAAGTTTTTATTGCGAATAATAATTTCTGTTGCATTTCTGTTGCAAKCCACGACAAGTCAGCCAAGACTYAGAACTCAGACAAAAAGGCTGTCAAAATAACGCGACCAACAAAACGGAAGACACTACACTAAATATTRATATCCACGTCTTATCGTAATAGAMAATAATTACTATTTCATAAAGGTAGACCTACATAACTAATTTTAAAATGCAACTATACTCACTTTGCTTAATGTGTCAATCACAGAAAAAACGAGCGAAAAAGGGTTTATCTTCCTGAATATTTGATGACTGGACAATAAAAAGGTAATTAAAAATTGGTTCTTTTATTTCACTGACAAAGCTTGTAAAACGAATGTGTTTGGACAGCTTTTTCTCTTCAGTTCCGCTCAACAATCAGTGCTGCACTACAGGGGTTTTCTTTCCTAATTTATCCTTTAAAAMAATTCCCCCTTTTCGTTTGAAAGGATRGATCCTTTGATTAGTGTGTAATTGTATGTGGACCGTCAAAGATATTTTTGTCTTGAGTCACTCAGAGTAAAAGCGTTGAATAAGTGATGTCACAACTAATGTCACGATGTAGATATGCAAGCGGTTTGCCATATTTCCTGTCTGGACTTGTACAACCCTTCTTTACTTGTCTATCAACTTTCACTATTCTCAATTTACTTCCTTCACTTCGTTTCTTTGCTTTTTCTCGTTTTTAAACTGAACTTGTCAGAATGATGGTATGGTACCAGTCCATTGAATTAGATAAACTATTAGTTTAATAAAAGTAGTTTTCCCTAACTTAAATGTCAAGTAAACTGATCGATATGACACTAACCAACACAGTTGCGTAAATGTACGTTCATACAATAATACATCGYGAACCGTTTGYAACGTTAAACTGTGTTCTTCCTAAAAAAGAGTTTTTTCAGTGAAAGACTTTAATTATCTTTTTTTACCTATTTTCTGTATTTTTAACTTTCTTAATTAAGCACCACGCTTAACCGGAAATCGAMATGCATGATTAGATATGCGTGGAGATCACGTGATAATTGCTCGCGGGCTCGTGATCTGATGTCTTGTCCACCGCGCCCCTTCACAGTCCTCTTCCTTGCAGCGGACCTAATAGTCGTGTGGCATATCTGTGTGAATTTTACCCTGCTTCTAACTCCAAATTCCACGTGAGTTTTCCATTATAATGCTTGTTATTTTATGTCATGATGGGGAGGGAGATCGAAAGTGATTGATTCAGCATGCCAGTTACTAAACTCGATTCGAATTTACGGCCTAAAAGTCGATGAGTTGCAGTTTCCGTAGCCTGAACGCCATTCGCTTTCGCAATGCTTAAACCTTTCTTAACTTCAAAGCTGTTATGTAAAGTCCTAAGATAAAATGTCAATCTAGCTTTCTGTGGCGTGTTTAAAGCTAATGTTGCTCGRTGGTAGAAATTTGGGGGTGTGTGTTAGATTTCTGTATGGTACTGAATTTCAGATTTTTGGGAAGCCATCGTGAATCTTGTCTACGTGTTCGTGACCCTTTCTTTAGACTGGTTTTTAAAGAATATTGAGCAAGGTCGCGTACGATGCTAGCTTAGTTCTAATAAATCCATGTAAAATAATGAAACTTGGAAAGACTTGTTACCGATTTAACATATGTTGCAAGACTGAAGATGGCGCTCGTACAAACTACGGACAAACAATTGAAGGTTAACACTTAGATGCGCCGTTGAGAGAATTCTAGACAAAAGTCAGGTTTCTTCGGTGTTATATTTAACTTAAAATCGTTATTGTACACAATTAAAGTTCAGAGAAAGAATCATGTRAAGTTTAATAGAAAACTTGTACATATTTGAATGGTCAGCAAGAACTTGTTGAATGTGGGATGCCGAGATTCACTGAAGGAATGCATCTCTAGCAGCACTCTATTGACACAAAATGTTTCTAAATTGAATTGTTTTTAGCTATAGAATTAATCCTAACTTTTGCCACCTCGAACATGCTGTCTTTTGAAGCTTCATCAGTCAACTRCGTTCTAGAATTTTAATGTATCAATTATAAACTGCATTTAAATTTTCCTGATCTCGTGTTTTTTAGTTCGATAGTGTTTAATAGTTCACAAAGAGACTTGATTAAATGTTTAGATCAGTTTAATATATCTTATTCCACCAGATTCATCGATTTTTAGGCATGAGAAAGTCATTCTTCTATTGTTAATAATTTATCTGGAAGAGCCTGCATTTGTAACTATTATGAATTTGTTTAAAACTTTGTTCTTTTAACAAACGTTTGTTATAACGCTTATTAGGATGTGTTATACATATTAGATGGTTCTTATATCCTCGAGTTTCAAGAGATTGTGATTATTTAGACAATTTCTGAGTCATTTCATTAAATGTTTTAAGGGATTTTTTTTACAGAAATTCTATAATAACACACATACTTCAAATGAAAGTGAGTTGATAGTTTACAATTTTCCAGAGTTCTAAGATTATGAAATTCTTTCTGTCTTTGATTAATTTCTATGTTTGCTTATGTAATAATGCTAAAATAGTCATTATTTGTCTGATTGGCAATATTTCTCTTATCTTAAAGTACTAATTCAGGTTTAACCTTAATTTCAAAAGGACCAACTCTTWAGAATCTGAATAACCTCTCTAGAAATAATGACAAACCTGGCAAATAATTGTTGACCATCCTGTTAGCTTTATGCTTCATGTAATTGGTAATCTGTTCAATGCTTGCTACATTTTTGTGATAATATTACATTAATTTAATGTATATTAATGGATACAGATTATTTCATGCAATAAAGGCATATGATCTTTTAATTACAAGTCTGACTTTCTGAATGATTAGATTGTTTTGCCTAGATTTTCTTGTTTTCTCTTCATGTTTTTTTTTTCAACGTGAGAACTTTCCTGGTAGTTAATACTGGTTCCATATAATCAWTGCAATCACTTGGTTCACCACAATCGTTGAACTTCCCATAGCCATATTGAAGCAATGTTGATCTCTATCTTAGCAATCCTGGTGATTTACACCTATTTCAAAAAACGATGTCGTCACCATGACACAGYCCACAGTCTTCAGCCTSAAAAGAATCTYGGGGTTTCCATGYGTAATTAATATATTCAAAATAAATTGTGGTTTGAATTCAATGCCGGCAAGCACTACTAATATACTATTGCGGGCATGTCTTGCCATGAGGCATTTTCCAC